TAAACCCTGCCGAATATTTTGATATTGGAGAATGAAGTAGAGAAAATGTATATTCCTGGAGAAATATGTCCTCTTAGATTTTATATTAATTCTTATAGTATTAATTTTATTGCTAAACTATATTTAGAAGAAAAGTAAATAAAAAATTACGTTGACACGTTAATCGCAAATACTTTTGGTGTTTAAGTTAAAACGAACGCAGTGAAATTTGCTGTGCCATAAATTCTATTTGCAAAATAATTATCTACCTCTGAGAAATACAATGTGTCTGAGTGCCACGTTTCAGAGCTTCTAGGATGGGTAGGGTGCATCCCGGCGATTCGGAATCATATAGCAACGCAGGGTCCGAAACGCATTTTTGAACGCGGTAGATGGCGTTCTTGCATGGAATCGTCATTTTGCACAAGGACGTAGAGTCAGTAGGATGACTAATTATACGAAAGTGGAGTTAGCCAATCTGCATTAGGCATACGGGGCTGCAGATGTAATGGGCCAGTCGCATAGCTTGCACGTGGAGCAATATCTTATGAGGAGTATTCCTAGCCAAGATTTCTATGCAAAACTGCATCGAAGGTTGGCTGAAACAGGTTCCTTTCCAAGAGCTGACATGAATCAGGCACGATCAGCACGGACTCCGATATCGAAGAGAATGTGCTACATCTGATAAAAGGGACTCAGTTTGAGCACGCGAAGTGTAACACATGCAGTTCGGGTTTCCCGTTTGAACGTCTAGAGGGTTCTCAGAGAAAAATGAAATGCATCCATATTACGTGCACTGTGTCCAGGCTCTTCAACAGGGCGATAACGCGTTTCGTATTGCACAACGGTACCTCTAAAAGTGGGCTACAGATCCCCAGTTCCCTGCTAATGTGTTCTTCACTGATGAGGCATCTTTCACAAAGGGAGAAATCTTCAACACACATAACGCCCATTTCTGCGCGGCACAGAGACCTCATGCAACACGGCATCGTACAGTGCTGTGTTTGTTTTTCGTTAATGTATGAACCGGTATCATCGGACCTCACCTATCGCTTTACATCTAACCATTTGCAACTACTTGATTTTTCTTCAGCAAGTCTTGCCACAAGTTTTTCGTGACTGAGAGATTTCTACATTGACGGACAAGTAATGTGGTTCGAACACGAAGGAGACACTGCCAATTTCAGCTTTATGACACCACCGTTGACAACGCCGAGGAGCTGTTTGCACGAAAATCAGTAGCTGCAGGAGTAATTCGAGATATGGCTGGAATATTTCAGAATATTTGGAATTCCATGCGCCGTAGATGTGAGGTCTGCACCGAAGTGCGTGGAACACTATCTTTGATCCATGATACTTTTGTTCACGTAAATTTATTATTAAAACGAATATTAACTTACGTGACATCTTTTTATTTCTAATTTTTCTAAATATACTACCGCCTCAGGAAAGTTTTCCAGCTCTGCACTGCTATATGATTCCGAGTCATCCGGGTACACCCTACCCCTGCTTGGAGTTACATGGTACTGAGACAACTGGTATATTTCAGTTAAAGAATAATATATGTAAACATTTTACATATATTAACACATTATCATAATATTTCCGTTTTATTTATTCTTAATTACAATTCATTGATGAAATCTTGGAAATAATATAAGCCAAGAAATCAGTAAACCTATTCAAATTTGACTAATTAGTTAATGAAAATTCTAGAGAAGAGATGACACAGACAGCCTTGTAGCCTTTAAAATTCACTTTTTGCTTCTTGCAATCTCCTCTTCCTATATGGGATGCCCCAAAAGATCGTTTATAAACTTTACGTGTTTGTCTGTAGGACCCCGACGAATAAATTTTACAGAGAAAGTTGCGTCCGAAAATTAAATCGTGCGGTGCTACAGCAAAGTGATCGACACACAAAGAAAGGGAGTTGATAGCAGCATTAACATGACTTTATTAAAAAAACTTTTAACTTTGTAGATGAAGGAAATAATCACGGTTATTGCAGATGCTCAAAATCCCTTCTATCCACCGCAATGCATGCCTTATAATGTTAACTTTTAGGTTCACGGACTCGTTTAATTGGTCAGGTGTGTTATGGACATGTGCCGCAGCGTTCATGATCGTGGCAATGAGGTTGATGTCAGTGCTACGGGTGTGTCGTATGCCAGGGACTTCATTTATCTCCACAAGAAAAATCCATAGGGGGTGAGATCAAGGGTTCATGGTGACCATGCGATTGGTCCATCTGTGACAATCGAGCGAGTAAAATAGGTTTTTATCAAGGTATTCTCAGACACTGATGCTGAAATGTGTAAGCGCCCCATCATGCTGAAACCAGATGTGTCGGCGTGAAGCTGCTGGAACGACATTAATCAAATTTGGTAAACCTTTTCTAAAAAAATACGATACGTACTCTTGTCGAGGCATTGAAGCAATATGTAAGAAATGAAAAATTTACTAAGATTATCAGCCCACGCGTTTAATGTCAAGCGCTGTTGGTCTGCATAGGCACGTGTACTCTCAGGGCTGTCGTGCTCCCAGCGCTGTGGGTCTGCATGGGAAGGTTTACTCCTGAGGTTGTCATGCTCCGACACATACAAGCTGTGCGAGTTAGGGAAACGTCTCGTGAAAGTGTCGCTTTATTGGTAAACAGAATCCACAATGGAAAATCTGGCTGTACGTTATGTGCACTCAAATACCAACGCGGGAAAGAAAACGTTGGGGAAAATCGGCTTCGCTCAATGCTTGTAATCTTTACATATGATAGAGGTGCAGTGTGTCCTCATGTAATATTCGCATAACGCTGGAGCGAGGTTCACCCAAGTCATGTTCGATTGCTCTGGCACTTGTTCTTGGGTTTCTCTGAATTTCTCGTATCAAAGCATCCTCTACAGCAGGTTTGCGTAAGGTACGTTGCCGATAGATGTGGTGCTTACTTGGAAGGCTCCAGCTTTACTTAAGCTGCGATGCAGTTGTCCAAGCAATGGATGTCTTGGTAGAAGTTTATTTGAGAAGCGCTCTCGTCCATTTCCATCCGCTATCCCATAAACGTAATGCATGCAGGTCAGTTCCTCGTTACTAAGCCGAAGCATCCTTCCCCTGCAAAATCTTCGCCTGGAATGATTGCGCTTTCCATTCTTCAGCAGAGGGCATACATTGCCCTCTAGCAGTGCCTGGTAACGGTTCCGGGCTAACATCCTATGCAAAACTTGTTCATCATGGATTTAAAGACCAGCACGTAAAGTTTGTAAATGAACTTTTAGGACAACTTGTAGAAATGACAGGCTGATACAAAAATTGTAACTCGTTTGCTTCTCTAATCTTCTTTTATATCATCACTTTATATTTTTACAATCAATTACTGTTGAAGCTCGATTTAGGTATGAATATTTTAGGGTAATTATAATAGAAAGCATACGTAAAGTTCAAATATTAATTACTAAAATATCAAATATTGTTATTGCTATTTACTGAAATTTACAACGAGCGATTATATAGAAATATATTATTTAGGACTCTCAAGGAAACGTTTAAATTTTTACATAGAAAAGTATTGTTAACAAAAAGTTGCTAATTTAATAAGCAATAAAAGAATTCGTGAAAATGCTGTCTTTAAAATGTTGTCTTGAAAAATTCACCAAGATCTGGATGTACTCACAGCATTTAAAATACCTATTACGAATATAAGCAGTTATTTCTGTCCATGAATTGCAATTGCTTTGCTGGATGAAAATCTAAACAAAATCCCTGATAACAAATTCTAGGATTTAGAAACTGTTGCATATGTTATAATGGATGTATATAAAATATACTAAAACTAACACATACACATTTTTTTACACAAAAAAGCTAATTAACTAATTAAAAAAAATTCTTAAAAGTTCTTAGGAATTCTCTAAAGGGAATAAAATTGATTTAAAACCAAGATACTAAGCCAAAATTTAGATTAAGGTGCACTTACTTATTTATTTTTAGTACCATTATTAGATAACAGGATTTAATATTCATTTTTATTCTACTAATATTACATATTCTTCATTGTTTAAAAAGAGTTTTAGCCTACGTACTGAACAAAACTGCGCATTTCATGTGTGTTTGGCTTATATATGGAACAATTAAAGTGTAATAATATAGAGAAAATAAGTGACAAGTGACAAAAACAAGAGTTATTTGGGAGTCTACGTTTTAATTTAATAGACAATATAAGAGAAATTGAATACGGAAGAAATTTCAACAATATTAGAAAAATTAAGATATGTTGAACTTTACTGATGTTGCTAACGATTATTCTTCAATGATGTTGATACATTACGAATTAACTGAAGAATATCTATGATCATAAGCTCGCTTAACTGCGCTTATGCTAATTATTATTATTAAATATAAAATGCTTGTTTAACTGCGCATGTACTAACGAGAGCATCAAAATAAAGATAGCGGATTATTATTAAAATCGTTTAAAAATACACTGATCTTTGATTGAAAAAAACCTGTGAGAGAATCTCTTTGGGATAAATGTTTTTATATTTTCCTAAAACAAATATGAATAAATTGAAGATAAGTATGGAGATTTCAAAAATTGAAAATTTATTTAAGAAATCTCTTTTCGTTGTTTATTCTAACAGTCTCTTCGTGTTAAAAGCTTTAAGCCGTTTTACCACACTACAGTCAGCATCAAACCGGGAACATTCCAGTCTGAAGGGAAGGAATAAATTGTTGTTAAGCTTTAAAGAGGAAAAAAAAAGGATTATGGAATCATAAAAATAGTTTCCCACAATTGTTTTACATTTTACGTTTTGCGCTCGTGAATCTTACATAAAGCTTTTATGAAGGAAAGAAAAGTTAAATGTATTCTCAGGAAGTACCCATTACAAGAGAAAATAAATCCTCATTTCTGTTAGATAGCAAGATTTTTATAACGAAAATATCTAGATCTGCCTTTCACATTTTTCTTTCGTTCCTAAAACTTTGAATCAAAATCATACTTCATTGTGAAAAATACAATCGAGTTTACGTACCCCAGAATAGTCTGTATCTAACTGTACAGGATCAAGAATATATCTCGGAAATCCAATTTTGGTGCCCATGGCTGCTACCTGAAAGGGATAAAAATTAGTTTGAGCTCTAATTACATAAAAAGGATATACGAATGAGCGGGAAGGATTTGAAAATTACAAATATTATTACTTTTTCTTCACATAAAATTTGTGTGTCATGTTCCAACCAAGACTGTTGTTTTATACCACGTACAAAAGCCTCTTTTAAAGATGAAATTAACGTTTTAATCTGAAATAAAATAAAAGAATTTCTTTTAATATGTAAATTACAATATTGACATACAACCTTTCTAGTTTTCAATTGCAGAAGATTTGCACTGGAGAAAATATTGACGTGTTAATTCCTTTAATCTTTTACTTACTTAAATCACTTAAATTAAAACTTAAATCACTTAAATTTTTTTTAATATTTTAAAATATTTATATTAAAAAGTTTCACTATTTAGTACTAAACGAAACGGTATTGTTCTACTTGAATTTCTATTTGATGATCTTTTTATTTAGATATTAAAATAAAGAATATTTCACTGTGGTAGTTAATTAAAAAAAGTCACTAAGACACTCACTTTCTAATTTCTTTATCTTCGTTAAACTACCTCAGTTCTTTATCTTCGTGAAATTACGTCAGATCTTTACCTTCGTGAACCTACCTCAGTTAAACAGACCGACGGCCTGTTTAACTGAGGTACGGCCTGTTTGCCTGTTTAAGATGTCCGACCCCCATTCCGGATATGAATTCTTGGAGTATTTACAGAATTACAGTGTAGTTTAATTTGCATTTGTCAAACTAAGATTTAGAGAAACTAAGATTAAAATTTCGCGTTAAGGAACATGAGGCATATGTTAGGAATAAGGAAACACAGAAGTCCTCTCTTGCCCAGCATTGTTGGTCGGAAAAATTACACTGTCCATTTTTCTGCAGCCAAAATTATTCACAAAACGTCTTCCATTGGCGAATTAGATTTTCTAGAGGCGTTTCACATTCAGAAAATCTTTCTGTTCTACTTAACGACCCTAATTCCAATCCATCTTTATCTTCAGCCTTTAAGGAAATTATGTTTTAGTTTTCTTGTTTTATCAATAGATGGCGCCAGTAGCTTAACTCCTGTTCAGCCATTCTTATCTTATCACTATATGTTATCTTGTTCATTTGCACTTTGGCAGCTGAGGCTGCTGTTTCGGTAAAACCACCGAAACTAGTCCTGTGAAAATTTGCAAATATTTTGCAAAAATTTGCTGATTTTTGTTGTCTGACTTCTAAATTCTATATCTCCCAAATTTATGCATAGCGTTGTTCTAATATAGGTATTTTAACACAAAATTGGGTCTTTTTCTGAAATGGCACACCATTTTCTTTTTCCATATTTAGATTCTATGACTCAAATTCTGCCTAAATATTAAATTTTGTAAAATTTGGTGAGAAATTAATAAAATTCACCTTGGCTCACTTTTTGGATTTTGCGGTGAAATTCTTAATTTATGGTAACCTATTTTCCTTTCCTTTTTAATGTGAACGAACGGAAAAATATGCGTCTTTCATTTTTTGAAATAATTCTAATAAAATGTGTAAACAGCATTTGGTGTTATGTTATTATCGCTCGTAAACAACATTTTAGGAAATTCTGAATAAAGAAGTCTCATTTTTTGCAAGTATGCCTAGAAATACATCAAGTTTAAGATGATGGTAAAAATTTTATAGCTTGTAATTCAAAAGTGTTTTTCGAAAAAATTACAAAAATACTGAAAAATACAAGTTGAAAAACAAATCATGAAATATCTGCGGATTTCATTTTGGAGGAATCAAGTAAGTTTAATAAAAAAGAGATATTGATAAATTTATACGAATTCAGTTAACATTGTGGAGATAAAATTTTCGCATCTAATTTTTTGGCATGGCATAATTTGAGTCAAAGACCTTCAGCCTATGACTCAAATATGGAAAGACGTAGGTATGTCATTTCAGAAAAAATCTGGATGGCGAGCTCTAATGTTTACAGAGTGTCCATGTACCGCTTTGCGTTTATTGTGGTGCCGTGTTCCAGAAAGTCACTGAGCAGCGGTCAAAGAAAAAGGTCAGTATGACTTTCCTGGAGCTGTGCACTTCTTTGGAATTTTTCGGAAGGGAGGTGAACCCACGTGATTCCATTGTTGAGTCTGACGCTTGCTCTCCGACTCAAAATGATGGCACCATGCTTCATCTCCCGCGCTAGTACGGGACAGGAAACAATATTCTTCATCGTGATACCGTTCCAGGTGCTGCAGAGATATCGACATTCTGTTCAACTTCGGCTTTTCCTTTAAGTTGTGGGGTACCTACTGCGCACAGGTTTTCCGGAACTTCAGAGACATGCTCTCTCAAGATGACGGGAGTGGTATCGTGATTAATGCCCAACATGAGTCGAATGTCTACCACCACCGCCATCGGTCTTCTCTGACAACAGCATCCACCGCATATCTTCTCGATATAGTTTATTTCATTCAAAAGAACACGCACGATACTGTATTCGCCATACACAGATGACATTCGGGCATAAATTTCACTTTCTGATTTTCCTTCTTAAATCAGAAAACGTACTACAGCACGCTGTTCCTCTTTGCGGCCTCCACAGTGATGGCGGGCGCAGACATCACTCGCTGACCTCACTTCGAGTACTCTAACAGATAAATGACACAGATGTGAGCTGTTCACGCTGTTCCTTCCTGATTCCCGATAGAGGGCACTTCTATGTGCAAACCTACCTGCGTTACCAAATTTCGTGTCATGCTTATTATGTAGACTGTCTCGTTTTCATATGACTGCTCGTTTATATCAAATTAATGGGTTATTTTATTTTGAATAAACAGGCAGTTATGCAGTCTTTAAGCTTGTAGAATAACAACATTTATTGATAAAAAAGACCTGATAGCTGTGCATTATCTTTGTTCATTTTCATTTTTCTGTTCTACCAATTGCTTTATAATATTTAGCTGTTTTCAGAAATTAAAATCTGGTAGTAAAAAATAGCCGTCTCAAACAACAAAGTATTTGATATAAGTTTTCTAATCGCTATCAACAGCTGCAAAATATAATATTTCTAACAAACTAAATCCATTAACCGATTATAATATAACAAGGAAACAATAATTTCTGTATTTTATTATTTTTACTAGCATATTATTATACAATCTGTTATAAAAAGATAGCTTTGTTTCTTTAAACCTTAATAAATGATTCCGTCTTACTATTACAAATTCAAAGTTCTGGGAAATAGAATGCAGACCTTTATGAGATCAATATAAATACTCTGTGTGAGGATGGGTTTTATTTATAAAACCTACTTTTTTCTATCATCATAAAGAGAAAAAAATCGTTAAAAAAATATAAATTTCTATGACTTTGCTAAAACTATTCGTGTAATATTTCATTCATAATTCCCCCCGATTCAGTTGATCTTACAGGTACAGAGTTACGTTGGCTGTTTTTCTAGAAACTGTCTATATATTGTATGCATAAATAAAAAGGATATATAAAGTTATAAACATGAAAGAAAGACATACTTCATTTTCTAATTCTTCATTAAATTCTTGTTTAACATAAAGAGACGCCAGAGCCATTCCGAAACCATCGTTGACGAGATGAACGCATTCTTTCCACCTAGCAAAAAAAGTCCGCTCCTCTGACAAGTTGGGTACCTCGCGCCGGAAATCGTAGAAGAGTCGCCGGAAATGAATATCCAGGTATGGCAGGTATTTGGCGACAAAACGCCAAGTCAGGTAATTGGCAGTTGTCCTATTAAAAGACAAGGTTGTTAAAATTAAAATTCCCGTATTACTGGAGCTCGTTCTGAGTCTCCAAAGGCAACGAAATGTGAGATAGAAGTACTTAAATCGATGCATTTGTCATTTGTTTATGGAACTGTTGTCATAAAAATCACGTAAGAGAATGTTTCAAAAGTTCAAAGGGTTCTCCATAAATGGCATTTTCGGTCATTCATGGTTCATGGCATTTTCGGCAAAAAACGCAATATTTGTGCTAAGGATGGTAAACACGACACCTAATTTCAAGTTTGATAGAGTTAGATAACTTTCACAGGAATAGATGGAAGCAAAGTTGGCATTTGTACATTCCCGTAGGCATATTTCACAAGTGCACATCAGATTAGCCACTGAGGGAGGGGTTTCGAAAATGGGCCAATGAGCTTCTATTGCTCTTGTGACGCTAAATCTTCCTGCATGTAAGCGTGTGCTGTTTATCTTTTAATTGGCATTTGTTTCGCATTTATAAATGTATGGCGTAATAGTAGAAAATCTCGTAGTGCTTTCGTTTTATGAGTTTAATCAATCACTAACATTTCACTTTCGCGATTTTTTATCACGAAATAATATTTGGATTGATGTTCACGGCATATTATCGCTCTTTACATAAAGAAACTGACTCAAGCTACAGTTAGCCTCGAATATTATACATCTACTATCACTTGTGGATTAAGAGAATTCAAGTGTATAGTTTTTTTTAATTGAGATGAGAAGGACTGGAAGTATTACAATAAATCTAGTGTTTTCTTATTTCAGTGCTTGCATTCTTTTGATTTTGAAAGTGTAAGATTCAGAATACATATTGTGTATGATCTGATTATATCCATTGTTAACACTAAAAGTTATATAGGAATAAATTAAACATATTCGTTGTGAATAAGATACATTTATTCTGTTTGATGAGTATTTCTTGTGTAGACGGTATATTTAAGAGTGAAGAGTTATTAAATGTGAAATTTAATGCACTAAATCTATACGAATGCAAATTAGTAAAGTTCACTTTGAATAAAATTATGCATTGGCTATTATTATAGAACATCTTTTTCATATAGGATGTAAAAAAAATGCTAACTTCTATTTACATATATAATTGGTGTAAATATGTTTCTCATATGCTTAGTTTCATGTAAAGATAGCATTTGGGTTCAGATGTTTATCACATATTTCTCTCTTCATCTCATTTACCACTTATTAAGTAATATTTCAGATGTATATTTTTGCGGAGAATCCAACATATTATTGTATTTATTTCAAATTCTTTCAACCAGGTAGTGAAATCTTCACAATTGCTTATATTTGAGCTAACTTTGCAATGAAAAGTTTCAGAAGAAATCGACGATGCTTTAATTATTTTGTACAGAAAATTGCGTGGCAGAATATTTTCAGAAATCTTGCTTAAATCTTAAAGCACGTGAAAGGTCATGAGAGATATATTACTGGATGCCCATTTGTCCATCCTAGAAGCCACTTCCTCGGTGGCTATACATATGTGCATTTGTCAAATATGCTTCCTGTAGGTATATATCATGTATCGCCAGGTCTTGCTAATTGTTAAGTTTCTGCCTAAATTTGAGAGACAATACTGCCAAAGGAGGTCCGTGGGTTTCCCACTCCATTTTCCCTAACACCAGCCTCTAGAGAAGATTTCAGCTTATTGTGTATATTGAGTACCCTTTTCTTGCATGGACACTATATGCTTTCAAACATCCATGCCTTCTCCAGGATTCAAACCTGGACCCATCGGTACGGCAGTAACCACTGTACCAGCTAGGTGGTTCTTTGATACCACATCTGGTTCTTTAAAATATACCATGACCAGAAATCATATGAGCATTGTCCAGGATGCACCGCAGAAGTAGATCGATGAAAGGAGAAAAGACACATGTAAGCATTGTTAAGGCTATGCAGGAGACAGGTGACGGAGGAGCGGACGCCTGAAGTTTAACAGAGGTTAACAGGCATATGTCCCGCGTCCTCCCCTGGAGTTTATTTAATAGTTATAAGTGTGGATACATGGCCATACAGGGGCAACTGTTTAACATCTGGCATTTGAAGTACATTTGAATTAACTTACAGGCACGGTAAAAAAAAAAAAAAAAATTAATAGGTTATAACAAAAGAAGAAAATTAAACACCTAAAAATGGTGTTCAATTTTCTTCTGCTCCTATGCAGTCAGAGATTAGATGGTAGAGCATTAGAGTCTATATGTCAGTGCAAGTAATGCATGTAAGCCCTATTACTCTGGTTGACAGAGGTCCTGGCCATATGCTGCAATGGTGGTTATTATTTTGCAGATTTTATTTATGGCCGCTCTGTTTTTGGCTAGGAACTTGTGAAATGCTGAGTTAAGGCTATGCATTTACGCATTCAGATATATATGATTAAATGAAAATACCAAGGATTATTTCGTTGATTCAAGTGATCAAACTATCTGGAACTAACGGCTGATAAAACGTTCTTTGGTAAAATGGTCGTTGAATAAACTTTGAATGCAGTGGATGATATGGGATAATACAAAGTGTCGAATCCATATAATGAAGATACTTGCTTGGTGAATACTGAAATCGCGAAATTAGCCAATATATTATAAAATACTGTTGCCAATTTGCAGAACATGTATTAGGTTAGGTTGGTATACTTCTTAAAAAGTAAGAGGCAATGAAAATATTAGATAAATTTAACCAAATTTCACACTATGTAGTCGTTTCTGGAGAATGCAATGCAATGCATACTTGCCAACCTATGACACTCAAAAATCAGGAGATTTTTTTTAAAGAAATCAGGAGATTTTTCACAATGTTAAAAAGCCTTTTTAAATGATAAAAATATAGTTTTCAATAATGAATTAACTTTAAATGGTAACTAATTCTTAAATGCAAGCAACACAAAAATACCTTACACATAAAAAACATTTTATTACTTGCATCGTTTAAGAGAACAAAAAGACACTTTAACCAGTTTTCGTACAAATGTTATAAACAGTGGCAGATTTTGCTTTCTTTAAGAAAGAAACTTCATAATTTTGTTCACAGCAATTGCCACGTAGGCCTGCTTTCGTTAATAAAAGTTTTCCTAATGTGTCATCACTAATATTAGATCTAAATTTAGTCCTCGTTTTCGCAAACACACTGAAACTCCTCTCACACTCTGCATTACTATGGGGAACAGTCAAGATGGCCAACATAATTCTAGATAGTTCACTATATTTTACAATTCCATCAGCACCTTTCAGTTTTGCAATTAAACTCCACTGGGTGTCAATCCTAGCTGATTTTATAACTTCATCCAAGTTTTCTAATTGTAAACTGCTGTTATGCAGCTGTTGGAACTGTTTCAATTTTTCCTTCCTTTTAGAACTCCTTCTAAGATAATAATAAATATCAACAATGTGTTCATCCACATTTATAAGTTTTAATAATTAGATGTGCAAAGCCTGTTGAATGTCCTTCTAAAGTGGGGACAGAAAGTAAACTTCACTCCATTTCTGAAAACTCTGGATTAAAAAAAAAGAAACAACAATTGGATACAGTTTTGAATCGGTATTATTGCTTCCATCCCTAAAGAGGCAGAACAGAGCTGTTTTAACGCAATCAATAACTAAAGATTTATTTTTCAAAACCCATTTATTTAACAATTTACCTATTTTGGACCTTACACTTGAGTATTTCTTAGCGATTTGGCTATCGGGAAACAATTTTCTAAATAAAGCTGCAGCGTGATCCGATGCATTCAGTGGCAGGTTGTGCTCGAGGAAAAAGGCAGAGAACAGACATTCTGCATTAATAACTTTTTGGTCCTTTGTTTCCGAAGAAAAATTTAATTTTTTGTTTTTTTCAAAACAACTCATGTTGTCCTTGTGTTTTTGTGTACACACATGATTGAGAACATCCGCCCTTCCACCATGCGAAATCGAAAAATCGCAATGACAGACGGTACACATCGCAAATTTATTACATTTCCTTGCGGAAATAATGGAAGGAAAGTCAACTGTGTACTATTTTTGAAACGTACAGGAGTATTTCACCTTTCTCACAGACATAAGATGATAATTTCTAAAACTCTTTCCCAGAGGCACGTGTAATCACACAACTCAGAACAAGATGAACAAAATAACTAAAGAACATCCAAATAACAGCCTTGAGCTTGCTTTGTGCTAATTGGCTAATATATTCCAGATGACACGCAGTGGAGCTTGATGCCCATTGGAGAACGATGTTTCTGGACACATATGCTCTCACTCACAAAGCAGAAATTCTCATCTGATTCGCAAGGTTTTGTTTTAGGTATAATCTAGAGGAAAATTCAATTGCTTTCAGACGTCAAAAATCCCCCCTTTTTTTGTTCATATAACAAAGTATTAAGCCAAGTTCCATAAAAATCGTGAGAATAAAAAAAAAGTCGGGAGAAATATATTGTAAATCGGGTTGGCGGGAGAGCGGTCGAAAATCGGGAGTCTCCCGCCTAAATCTGGAGAGTTGGCAACTCTGGCAATGGAATCTCTTGTGTCTCAATGGAATCTTTCTGTTGTCTAAATGTGACAGTTTTATCCATTAACTCAGAAGAGGGATCTTCGTTCTGGTGTTCCTTGACTGGGTCAAGTTAGCTGCTATTTGCAGAAGGAACTAATTGAATCCAAAATGTTGCGTTACTGTTCTGTAGCTACAATGGTCTCTTTGTCTTGAACATATAGCATTGCAATATGTGGCATATTTATTTTACAGAAGCCAAGATACGTATCAACAGATTTTAGAATCTGAAGCCAACTTTAAAACTGCTCCGCTATAAATACATTTTTATCATTTCTATTTTGATATTTGATGCCTATTATCTTAATTTTGATTGTCATAACACTTTTCACTTAAGGCGAGTTTCTCACTCATCTGATAGTTCTGGAGGCAGAATTAACTACAACGTCAACTCAGTAAACATTCAACCAATTTCGATTTTTACCGCCAAAACTAGAAGCCAAAATAGGACTGTACAGAACAATTAGGGGATCTTTACCATTTTGAAATCAGCAAAACCAGCCACTGGTATAAGATTTAAATGTTTTTAACCATACAGGTGTATAGCAATCGCAGTTGCGTTATTATGTTTCTGAATTCTTGCAGAAAAATGTCTTTTGACTGAGCATTTTCCTGCAGCGTTGCTTTTGCTCATGGAGTACTCTGAGTAGCTTATGCTTTTGACCGGCTTGTTTCATTTAAATAAATCAGTGTAATCAACAATGAGAGTAAATGGTAAACTCTGGCTTTAACACCATCTATTTTTTAAAGATGAAGAATGCATTTTCTGAAATACCTGTTATTTAAATTTCTTTCCATTGGAGCCTTAGCACTCGCTTTAGAACCCCTCCATATTCATGAATTTTTAAAAGCTTTAAATGGGACGTAATAAACATTTTGCAGTGACAAATAACAGGATAAGAACAAAATTATACATTTAGCAACAAAATGGAAAATGCTATGGCATTAATTTGATTGTGAAATGTAACATGGAAACTAGGACAACTGTCCAAACAGGAGAATTAAATTTAAATTTAACCCATTCGTAATAAAATGTTCCCATCTTATTTCCTACAAGATTTTATTCAAATTTTACCGTATTTGGAAACGAAATGATTTACTTTAAAATGTATAATGGAATTGTGTTTTTAAAAAACGGTTATTACTACAGTTTAAATTTAGTACTAGTTGAATTATGAACCTGAAAGAAGTATCTTATCATTCGCGACCTATAAATGGTTCGTAAAGTTTATTAAACAATGACAAAATTTTTAAAAACAGATGAATATTCTTAGTTAAAATATTTGACATTTGTTCAATAATTTGTTTTTAGCTACCTTATCAGTTGACGAATTTTGAAAAAATAGCAGTGACTCACATAGGGCCTCACACGATCAACGTCCCGCATAACGAACGTGCACACGGACCGAAAAATGTCCCGTGTAACGAACTCGATCTTATATTGAAAACCTTACGTGAATACCTTTACGCATTTTTAAAATGTCAAAAGAGGAACTAAATTTTCTTTAGTTGCAGTTTAGGCAGTAGAGAATGGAATGCATTTTCAGGAATTATGCAGACCAATAAACGTCCGAATCAGTCTATAGGTCAAATTGTGACTCACCCGTAAAGAATACATTATTCTGTTTTTTTATGGAGTCAACGTGAGGTGATCTCAGAGCCAGTTTAAGGGGCCCTTTTTTATGTCTCACTCTGATGTAAACAGCTGGTTGTCTTATGCAATAACTGTGTAGCATTTTCAGGCACACAAGTTCCAAGGGAGGCAAACGAATAATATGATTTCGCGTCCCGGACTCTTTGACAGGTCCACAATTCACCTACTGAAAGCTCACTTACTGACGCCTGTTACAGCTCACCTATTGAAGCACTCCCTTTTCTGGTAGGATTTGTGGGCTAGCAAAGCTTAAAGATCATCAAGCTTTCTCGAACATCGCATAGGCTTGGTTCTCCAAGTCAGAGCAATGGATTAAAATGATTTTCTCTAACACACCACTAAGAGTGTGGAGCTTGAGAGCTGAAGATAGCTGGATAGTTAAATTTGCTACTTGCTGAACAAGTATATCAGCTCCCTTATGTGTCCATGAATTAATTGGGTTATAGGCATCATCGCACTGTCATAGGTCTACGCCTAAACAAAGATAAAGCAAGCATACGTTGTAGGGTCATTGGACTATTTTAAAGTAAGGGACATGAAAATGAGCAATGCCCTCGCTGGGACTCGAAACTGGACCTCTCGAATACTCGCCGAATGTGCTACCGTTACACCACGAAGGCATACTGGAAGGAGCGAGAAAATATAGCTTATAACCTAATTAAACATATTTGTTTAAAAAGTGATCTTGAATGATGTTACGGATGTAAGCAGAAATCTGCAGGACTGAGACACTTCAAACGCCTTGTTCGAACGTTTCTGCTTTCAGAAAATTTGAATTTTTAAAGCTAACCAAATGTCGTTAATCATTAAATGCCAAAGAGTTATTAAAATACATAATATCCTTTTCATTATATGCCATATTAATTGATTAATTGCAGTTAATTTGAAACCGAAAAATTCTGATAAAGGTGTTTTTCGTCCAAATAAACTGAATAACATACTCGAAAATTACTGAACAAAATAATTTAATGGTAATTTTACCATTTAATAATCTATAATATTAATAATTAATATTTTAATGATATTTTTAATAATTTGCATGCTAAAAGCTTTGTTATTATTTGTTATATTAAATAATTATTATTAATCTGTGTTTAATGGATTTGAATAAAAACTTTACTACATGAGATTCTGGATAACAAAAATAAATATACTTGTTTCCTTATTTAATTAATTGAATGATATAGTGATACAGAATTATTTGTTACTGCATTAGGAAGTATATTAAAATATCAAACTAATATGCCATTTAATAGAAAGTGACTACCTACAGCCTCCAGCAAAACTTTACATGCGTCAGAGGAAGGAGAGAGAGTACAAGCATGTGCGTCTTCTCCCATGTGACTAACACATTCATAAAGCTTTTACTTCCTTCCTGAGATGCTGTTTTGTGACGCATGTGCTGTTCCAATAATAACGGCAGCATGCCTTTATGCATTCTATATATAATACAAAAATTTTAACAGACAGAAATTTCCATCATACATATTCTTGGACTTTGTACATGGCTTTAACTGAAATCTTTCTCGACATTCGCAAATGAAGGGGCGAATAGCGAATAGATTTTGAGCTATATTCATGTCTAAGTGTTAAGCAACATACTAAAAAAGGGGGAATAAGAAGAAAAATATTTATATGAATACATTAAAATAATTATAGATTAAGAGGTACAAGGCACCAGGCTGAAGATTGCAAAGGGAGTTGCTATGGCAGTACAAAAGGTTTTCAGTAAAAATCTCTCAATTCGAACTGTGATCTATGTTGGAAAGCATGTCCTGACAGAGATGATTCTTGTTAAGAATAAGCATTAGTAGCATTAGTAGGGCATCTTTGTCCTTTTCCGGAGCAGACATGTTTTTAGCTTGTTCTGTACATGTTCGATGAAATTAAAATCTCGATGACCAATCAAAATAATGCTCCCAATAAGTGATGAGTGCGATCCCTGAGAACTTGCACATTATTATCTATAACAATGACATCAAGACTGCAAAAAATGGACAAACATATTGAACAAGGATGCACCGTGCTGCAGCCACAGATAGACTGGTAATGCGAGGGAAGTCTAGTGATCAGTGAGACAGTTGACATCAATCTATGTTCACACCATCAACTACCACTATTGTATGCGTGCGCATTTCGCAGATGTTATTGAGTAAATAGCATTTTCAGGAATTATGCAGACCAATAAACGTCCGAATCAGTCTGTAGGTCAAATTGTGACTCACCCGTAAAGAATACATTATCTGTTTTTTATGGAGTCCGCGTGGGGTGATCTCAGAACCAGCTTAAGGGGCCCTTTTTTTTGTCTCACTTTGATGTAAACAGCTGGTTGTCTTATGCAATAACTGTGTAGCAGTTTCAGGCATACAAGTTCCAGGGATGGGCAAACAAATAATATGATTTCGCGTCCCGGACTCTTTGACAGGTCCACAATTCACCTACTGAAGGCTCACTTACTGAAGTCTGTTACAGCTCACCTATTGAAGCACTCCCTTTCTGGTAGGATTTGTGGGCTTGCAAAGCTCAAAGATCATCAAGCTTTCTCGAACATCGCATAGCCCGGATTCTCTAAGTCAGAGCAATGGATTAAAAGGATTTCCTCTAACACACCACTAAGAGTGTGGAGCTTGTGAGCTGAAGATAGATGGATAGTTAAATTTGCTACTTACTGAACAGGTATTATCAGCTCCCTTATGTGTCCATGAATTAATTGGGTTATAGGCATCATCGCACTGTCATAGGTTACAGCAGTCCAGGTTCGTGTATTTTATATTTTCAGAGTCGAGAATGTCAGGGTACAGATCTCAGCCAATATAATAAACGGTTTCGGGCAGGACACAGGCTGCAAATGTCAAAACAACTGAATACAAGGGATTCACTACAAGGAATTTGGGCTACTTTCGAATGTCTTTGGCCCATTTCCACAGGTTATATTATACTTCCCGTTTTCTAGCAATATTTAGACGATGTGGCCTATCCATTTTCCAAACTTTGGCTACTTCGATTTTCCTCCTGAAGTATGTGATGTAGCGGTAAGTGGTTTCTTTCGCAAAACAAGCCGTTTGTGTATCTAATATGGTTTATGTGAAATCGTCACTTACTCACACGCGTACCTTTATTAGTCATCTTGCATACAACTGACGCTATTCGAGACCACTGTCGTTGTATACATTTTGTACGCTGCATGCATATCAATAAGTTCGTATGCATTTCGTACGCTGTATACACGCTTTTCGTATGCAGTTCACCACTGGCTGTTTGTTCGTGGTATCTGCTACTGTCCCCTAATCGAGATCTCTGCATCTAAATATTGTAGCCTACATGTTGCTTCTTTCGCCAAACTCCAGTCTTTCAGTTTATTGATGAATCTTTTGAAACCAAGAAGTAAGAATTATGCATTTATTGGATATATTAGACATAAAAGATTAATAAATTGGAATTCTTTTGCACAAGATTTCTTAAATTGCATTTAAACATTAGGAGAAACAGGGACATTTAAAGTATTTTATTACTTATGTTACCTAGAAAATTATTTCTTTAGAATTAGCATAACTCATTTCAACTTTTTATACCTGGGGGACGTTTTGTTGAGCAGATCCACAAGGTGACGTAGGTATTTTTCGCAATGCACTACAATATTCAGGTCCACTTGATCAGCAGAAATCCCGCTGTAATCGAATATATAGTCCGTCAGGATTCCCCACTTTATCTGGAATAAAAAAATATGTATTAAAGTTTAGAATGGCCGTTAAATGAGAGAAAAGACAATTCAATGGGTAAACATTTTATTTTCTTGAAGATTTAGTCATGTGTTAAATTTCTTATTAAAAATATAGTGTATGTTGATATTTTTTATAAACAGATATTTTTGTTAAACGTAGTTTTGCTTAGCACTGTAAAATTAATTGTGATGATCTATTCTTTATATAATTAAAGCGCCATTACATATACCACGAAAGAACGTACAAACTTCGAAAACCGAAAGTCGCGAATATGAAAACATAAGCCGGATGGTCACACATTTACTTCGTTTTAGAATTAAGAGCAAGTACATCACAAACTCCAGTTGTTTTATTTTATGAAATTATGTTTCGCGTAAAATAAACAACCCGCTGATCATGTTGAAGAATAAGTGCAATCTCACAACTAAAGGCGACTAATAAGGAATGATTCGAATACTGAACTTCAAACTGGCTGAAAAAAATTGAAAAAATCAGATGTGGGCACCACATGAATTCCATATACGGAATATTAAATTATACGCATTTTTCCTGCATTTCATTTACACGTATTTCCTCGAATTTCATTAGAGAGATTTCATTCAATTAATTCAGTTCTCACTTCGTGGCTAGGCAAAAATACGTAAAACCTCAATATCTTCATTAAAAATTGAAAAATATAGAAAACACATAAAACAACAAATACAGTTAAGACAATTAGAAAAAACAATTTTTACAATTAAAATTACAGTTTCTACTCCAAAACAAGCAATTCAGCCAGCTTGAAGGCAGAATTTTCGGTGCACAAAACTAAACGTTTTCGTTTGGTTCCACTCGCAAAAAGACACTGAAGGTGCAGAAACTTAATTCAGCGTTCTATTAAGTTTCAAATATAAAATAAATTAGGCTTAGCGGCACTTAAACAACTTTAAAACTGTTGATAATTCTAAAAATATTGCATAAAGATTAACGAAAGGCATAAAAACCTTAACCGGAATATAAGAACAACATAATTCAATCATTTTTAAAGCAGAAAATGCGCAATTTACCCACATATAAGGAAAAAAAATTGAGCTCACTGACCCGAATAACAGAGTGAGTATATATATATTTATATATGTTTGGTGCGGCCGACTGCAACCAAAGTAGAAGGTACACAACTACATGCTACAACCGTCCTACATGCGTAATTTCAACGCTCTGAGGTTACTTGTTTTTGAGTTATGCGAGATTTATACATACATACGTACGTACGTACAGACGTCATGAAAAAAATCTCTTCTGAATCCATTTTAAATGCTTTTTGAAACCCGTTTTGGGAAAAAGAGTCCACTATTTTGTCCTTGCGTACAGATATGCAAAAACAAAAAAACAAAAAATGCATTTGATAGTAGTCAAAATTTCTATTTTCGTTGATATATCATACCGGAAAATTTTCGCGATTGTAATACTTCCTTTACTTTATACAAGGAAGGAAAAATATTTTCGGATTACTAAATTGTATAGTATATTCTTCCATTGCATGACAGATATCGAACAAGTTGAAAAAACCAGAAGTTCACTTTTAAACAAACTTTGTTGATTTTTCACACTACACCTCATTGCTCTAGTTCTGCGTGCGAAAGGGCCAAATGAATGATACAAATAAAGGGAACAACGAACTCGATAAACTGGTATAATTAATAATACGATAACAAAGATTTTATGAGGAGGAAACCTTCCTGGAAAATACTGAAAACTCTAAATAGAAGAAATTACACGTATATATGTGACTATCTAGGCAAGATGATCTTATAACGAAGACTGTGGGGTGGAATATATTAGCCGGGTTCTTTGGAGCCCGTAGTAGTAGAATTGCTATATCTCGTTTTTTGCTCTATTACCCAATTTACTTTATCAAGTTTCAGTAGTTCTCTAACTGAATCTATGGTTGAGAGGCAGGATAGGATGAGGCAAAATGGTACTAGTCTTTAAAATGTTAAGTGCAAATTATCTAATGAGATTCTAAATGTAGAATTCTTTTGCTTCATCCGATGTAAAATGATTTTAGAAGAACAAATTTACATCAACAAGAGATTGAAGTGATGGATAATATACAGGAGGAGTTACTAACCGTTAGATGCGATATTTAAAAGCTTTCACTCAAGTTCGTATTCAATCAATGTTAATTTTTCAGTTAATATTTCGATCAAGGTTATCTGAATTTGTAAAGGTATACTATATACCGGGTGATCAAAAAGTCAGTATAAATTTGAAAACTTAATAAATCACGGAATAATGTAGATAGAGAGGTAAAAATTGACACACATACTTAGAATGACATGGGGTTTTATTAGAAAAGCAATAATCTGATCAGAAAAGCAATAATTAGCATAACAAATTAAGACAAAAAGATGATGTTCTTTACTGGAAATGCTGAATATGTTCACCATCATTCCTCAACAATAGTTGTAGTCGAGGAATAATGTCGTGAACAGCACTGTAAAGCATGTCCGGTGTTATGGTGAGGCGTTGGCGTCGGATGTTGTCTTTCAGCATCCCTAGAGATGTCGGTCGATCACGATACACTTGCGACTTCAGGTAACCCCAAAGCCAATAATCGCACGGACTGAGGTCTGGGGACCTGGGAGGCCAAGCATGACGAAAGTGGTGGCTGAGCACACGATCATCACCAAACGACGCGCGCAAGAGATCTTTCACGCGTCTAGCAATATGGGGTGGAGCGCCATCCTGCATAAAAATCGTACGTTCCAGCAGGTGTTTATCAGCCAGGCTGGGGACGATGCGATTCTGTAACATATCGGCGTACCTCTCACCCGTCACGGTAGCAGTTACAAAACCAGAATCACGCATTTCCTCGAAGAAAAAAGGCCCGATAACAGTAAACTTTTTTTTTTGGTTCTAATAAAACCCCATGTCATTCTAAGTATGTGTGTCAATTTTTTACCTCTCTATCTACATTATTCCGTGATTTATTAAGTTTTCAAATTTATACTGACTTTTTGATCACCCGGTATAAAATCGAAAATTCTCTGTATGACCTAGAGAAATCAGAATAGAGGTACCAAATATTAGGTTGAAAACTAAATTTTAACTTATTTTAGAAATATCTATATATTTTTGCATTGTAAATTATACATCAGTAAAAATGCACCCATTTTGTTCCAAAGTATGCATAAAGTGTTGCAAATGTTTTCTTACTCATTTTAAGTTATGACTTGCGGTTAGTCTAAAACATCGCATCATCTTCCGCTCCCTTCCTCTGCTGGTTTGACGTGATTCTGATATATCCAGTCACAGTGAAGTATAATTAATCGCGTTAAAAAAGTGAAGCCGATATATGTATATACAATTTAAGATTTATATATATATATATGTCATAATAAAATCACAAGAAAAAGCCGGAGTAGTGTCGATGCGTAGTTCTCCTATATTGAAGAGGAAGTAATCTGATTGCGTCGTAAGCTAATGTGTTGACTTCGTAAAAAAAACTTGGCAGTAGAAGCGATTTTAATTCCATTTTTAAAAATATCATTACATATATATGTAATAATAAAAGAAAAGGAAATGACGGAACACTGTAGATGCGTGATTAGACCCATATTGAAGAAGATTTTGATTGCGTAGTATGCTAGTAATGCTAACTTGGTAACATCTAAAGAACTTGGCAGTCGAGGCAGTTTTAATTCCATTTTTATTTCTAATTGATATTTGTGGCCACAATCACTTGGCACTCTAGTCGTGCCTTTCCACAGAAGATTTACATTTTAGATATTGCTGAGATAGAAAGCAAGCCAGCGAAATTACATCTTAGCAGAGTAGAGGACAAAAGCTGAAGTGCGTAGTTATGCAAGATGGAGGCACGCGAAGAGAAAAGTTTTGGTTTACAATTCGATATTGGTCGTCAAGAGGCATCTGGTATTAACGGTTACGTAAGATCGCATGATTAATTTGAATGACGCAATGCAGATAAGTTATTACGATTTTAGAATAGAGAGGAAGAATTAATGTTTATAGTTATATTATAATTCTGATTCATACATTTTTATCTTACATATTTCCCCCCTTCAAAAAGAAAAAGGCGTAGCGACAGAGAAGCCTTTTTAAAGAAAAAGAGTTAAAGCACTAGCAAATGAAAAAACATAAAAATAAATAAATCATAAAATTTTTGTCCTGTAAAGTATAATTTACAAATATCAATTTTTTAAAATAAATTTTTAATTTTTAGAGTCCTATTGAATTTTTCAGCATTTCAGTCCAAAAGTCTTTTTGTTTGAGAGTTCACATAATCATAATTCTTCAGGGAAAGTTCTTGTTATCGCAGAATATCACAAAATAAACTTTTACATAATCATTACTTATAATTAAATGTAATCCACATAAATACTTATGATACTTATTTCTATACTGATAAATTATAATTTAACATCATAAATAATAGGATTAAGATTTTCAGTATTTATGGTTTCACCGTTATCATCTTTCATTTACAATTCCTGATTTTACCAAACTGGAGGGCCTCGCAATACTTCTAAATAAACATATCCATTAATAGGGCTGTCCTCTTGAGCTAACCAGTGTGTTCTCTGCACTAGTGGCCCAGGGTGCCTAGACAGTTACTTGAAAAGACCTCCGTTCCTTGCATTAAGGTAACTGGCCTTTGAGAACTGCACTAATACATTCAATAATAAAAAATATAATAATAATAATAATAATATAAAAAATTTACATGCATTCATAAAATGAGAGCCTCCAACATTATCTTGCATGAAGAGGGTAAAAGGAACAACTGTACAGAGGTAATAACAGGCCTCTGTTGAAGGAACCAGTACTCCCTCGACATACACTATACTTAACATACAATCACCCATAAATTTAACATGCATTTACCATAATTTCATATTACGTATCTGTAATAATTTTACTTATTTTTAACATCTTTATTTTTAGAATATTTATAAAATTCGTATTCAAAATTCTCAACAAAATT